GGCTGACAGCTCTAAACTAGCGTACTGTAGCTAATAGGAGTGCAAACTTAAAGAGCGACACAGCTGAACAGAAACCGCATGTTGGCCGTCGGTCCTAGTTGGACCGTCAGTGAGCTGTTGTTGCCCTAGTTCTGGCAGTGCATCCCTCTGATTGGCTGTTTGGAGGTTTCATTTCTCTCCAGCTCTCGACACAGGTTCAGTAAAGCCCCTTGAGCATGCCGCTGTAGTATCCATGCTTTCACCCATTAGTGCAGTTTCTCCTTATTTATCGCCTGTGCCTCTTCTTTTCTTTTTCCACTAAAATACCAAGGGCTGACAACGCCAGCGCCATTTTCAACTTTCTATCAGACATTATTCTCCATTAGTAGGCTACCTATAATACAAGTGGTGACCGACAGCAGTGTGAAAATAGTCTTCTTCTATCATAACAACAGACTACCGCCGCCTGCTGGCATGGAGAGTTATTTCCTCTCCACATGAGCAGAATGAACGTGGTGATTGGCCGTCGGCTGTAGTCTTTGAGGTGTGTTCTAGTGCAACTTTTTGGCGAGAGGCGTGAGGCAAGGACACAGACAGCCTTTGTCGCCACTAGTTCTTTGCCGTCTGCTTGGTGTGTCAGGGCCTTGAGAGACCCCAGAAGTGCGACTTATAGTCCAGATTTTACTGTGAAGGTTCCAGAAATTTAACCACTTCATGTTTGTTTTTGGGTATTTTGGACAGAATAACTGCACCTACCTTGCGTTCCTCCCCTCTTTTCCAGCCCGGTCAGAATGTGGATGTGTTTGTGCCGGTGGCCTGCCACCCGGGTTACTTTGTGCTGCAGCCGTGGCAGGACCTGCACAAGCTGGTGGTTTTGATGGGCGAGATGATCCTCTTCTACAATCAGACATCGAAGAGCAACGCAGCCACACACATCGAGAGAGGAGAGGTCTATGCTGCCAAAATAGACAAAAAGTGGGTGGTTTGTTTTTCTACCAGGACTATTGTGTCCAATTAACATGTTGTTATGATGTCATGGTGATGTCTTTTCTGCACATTATGACGACCATGTCATCATCATCGAGTACATGATAAGAATCTCATTTTAACCACAAGAGTTTGTTAAACTGAAGATGATGTCATTCTCCTCTTGGAGCACATTCTGCTGTTTAAGTTTACGCATGAGGGACTTGATATAAATATTGACTTTGTGATGAGTCAACGAGGTCACATTTAAAGCACTCCTATGTGGTAAGATAATGAGCTGTGGCGTCACCAGAAAGAACAAAGGCCCAATCTGGATGTCCCCCCCTCACACACTCACTGACTGTGGTGCTCTTTCCCGCTCAATCTGTGAGGGCTTAGTGCTCGCCCGCTGTCCAGTCATAAAGTGTGTGAGGGACCTCTCGCTGACTTTTTTTTTTTTTCCCAAAACTTTTTATTACATTTTTGCAGACAGTACAACATGATGTACAGGAGTAAATCAGAGCATCTGCATAGAGTAAAACAAAAGCCCCAATTAAACAGAAAAACAAGACAATAAAATAATAAGCACCCATTTACCCTCCCAACCCCCACCCTCCCAGCTCCCTAAGGTAGTTGTCCATTAGCAACTGTCGTAACATAGATACTAATAGGACAATACAAGTAGACACAGACACATATGTAAAAAATTATAATAATAATAAATATATATATATATATATATCTTGCTGACTTTTTGAGCCCTTTATGCACCCTCTCTGTAAGTGGGCATATCTGCAGACTAAGCATGAGGGAATTACCCAGAGTTCATAGCAATGCGAAGTGAAACAAACGCCATAAAACAGGAAATGAGGGAGAGACAGTAAATAAGCAGGAAGGTGAACCCACGCTCTATTTACAGACTGCCAAAAAAGTTTATTTGAAACGACAGCTAATTCAGAACTCTACTGCACGTCTCTCTCTAAGCGCCATGGCTGTGAGTGAGTCAAGTAAAATACCTAATGCCAGATGACATCGTGCCGTCATGGTTACAGAGAAGTCGCAAAGTGCTGTCCCAGTGGTTTTAAAGCATTTCCAGCCCTTGCATCCTCGTGCACTCAATCACTTTCCAGGTGATATCAATGGCTCAGGGTTTAGGGAGGACATCGAGATTCAGCCAAATTGTAAAAAAACGAGGTTGCCATTGTTTGGTAGTTCATGGGTTGACTGAATTTTTGCCTCCACCCAGCTGGCACCGCGTGCAGGTGAAGGGGATTCTCTCCAACGGGTATGTTTCCGTTTACGAGTTGGACTACGGCAAACATGAGCTGGTCCGCAATAATCTCCTCCAACCGCTGATCGAGGAATTCAGACAGCTGCCCTTCCAGGCGATCACTGCACAGCTGGCGGGTAAGTTCCATCACACGGGGTCGTTTAGTTACCTTAAACACACAGTATGTTAATTCTGCCGCCAGCGGGCTCTTGATCAAAACAATCACCACAGATGATGTTGGCGGGGATTCCCTGCTACTCCACCCACCAATCACTGATGCCTCCTGCTGTTGCTCCTGCAGGTTTGACAAAGACTCAGTGGACGGAGGAGGCCGCCATGTTGTTCAGGAACCACGTGGAGGGGCGAGCGCTAGTGGCCCAGGTGGAGAGTGAACAGGAGGACGTCAAAGGTGAGCTCGGGGGACGCAGGTTGACGGTGTACCTGGTGGACACCACAGTGCAGGAGAGGGACCTGTGGATTCACAGCATCATGGCCGACCTTGGCGGGGAGCTGTCCTCGGCAGCTTAGGGCACCGTCTCATGCCTCTGACTCTCAGCAAGTATTTTTTAGAACCACAACTTTTCTGTTTCCTGGTTCTTTCTTTTCTAAAACCTGCTGAGAATGTTCAGTGAACTTTAAAAAAAGAAAAGTCACTCCTCTGCTCTTGTTTTTTTTCCATGTTGTTGTTTTTTTTCCTCTCCATCACGGACTTTAAAGGCGCGAGCGGGAAAGGGCAAGAGTTATTTTTTTTCTGCATCGCGTGACTGAAAAAGCGGATTAATCTCAAAAACTTTCAAATGAATGAGGAAGATGGAAAACATTCTTTACCGTCAAATGTTGCTCCATCTGAACTCAGGCCTAATATTCAGCAACGTTTCTTTTCAGGTATCACATCACGTGTGTGTTGCATGGTTTGTGTGTTGTTAAGACTCTCATGTTATTACGATTTCTGTTTGCTGTGCCTCTTGTAGACGTTGGTGTGGCTGATTTTGCACTTAGTAGTGTGTAAATATGTTTTAAGATGAACCTAAAAGGCCTTACTTTAAAAACGTTGGTCATGTACATACCTGTTAAAACACACGTGTTGCTCGGCTGGAGAAAAAAAAGTCAAGATTTTATTTGGTGTGAAAAGCTGTTCAGAAGGATTTCAGGATTTGTTCTGTTAAAAGGAGGGTCTACTTTGAAAGCATTACATTGGTTTGTTTATGTTCTGGCAGTGTGGGCTGCTATTTGTCAAATGTCAAGCGCCACACTGTCACGATGATGTAACTGAAGCAGATGTGATAAAAAATGATGTTTACTACTTTGTTTGTGGAAAATTATAATAATAATAATACATGAGACGTATATAGAGTCATTCAAAACACTCCAAGATGCTGGAGGTTTGTGTCAGCAGACATGAGAGTGCAGGTGGGAGTGTGCCGGTGGAGGAGCTCAGACAGATGAGGGGGGGAGCGAGGTCATGGAGGGCTGAAGTTAGCTCACCTCTGCAAAACAACCAGACCACCCAGGTGAGCTTTAATCACAACACTTAAAAACAAAGTTACTTAATTAGTTTCAAACACTGAAACTTCAAGGTCACATATTATGCTAAATCCACTGCATCTTTCTCTAACAATAATATGTGTCTCTAGTCTGTATTCAAACCCCCGAATGATGAGAAAAGTCCATCCTCTCCGTCTTTTGTCTGCTCTACTTTTCAGGAAATGTGTGCTCAAACAGGCTGTTTGGAGATTTTCCCTTAATGACATCACAAAGGGTAGTAACCCCTCCCCCAGGTGGGTGACACTCCCACAGCTAGGTGTTTGTTCTGCCCTCTGAGTCTGCCTTCTCATCATAAATAGAAGATGGAGCGAGAAAGCCTGAGACACCCAAGCCCTTCCAGAGAGGGGGCATGGTCATATGCAGTTCATTTACATATTTAAAGGTACAGACACAGAAACAGCCTGTTCTGAGCAGGGCTGAATTAGAGGGGTTTATAGACATGATCAAATACAGGATCACAGTGGATTTAGAACAAGAAACTTCACAGACATGTTTTGAGGAGCTCTGAGACTTATTTAAACTGGTTGAATAGGAGGAGAATGTGACCTTTAAATAATTTGCAGCTTTATGAGGGGCGACAATATGGTCATGGCAACTGCATACTGAGATGTCTGAGAGTTTGTTAAAGTGAAATGAGACATTCAAAGATGCAGCAGTGTCTTTTTACATCACTGTGACTACAGGGAGACACTGAGGACCACTATCTACGGTGAGACTGAAGGGACAAAATAACTAGAGATTAATCTTGAATTTAAAAAACTAATTTCAGACCTTAATGAGTTGTGATGAACTAAAGATGCTGACTGTTCTTATATGTATATAATTGTTGAATATATACAGTATCTATTAGACTTTTCTAACTAAGTATGGTCAAACTGAGAACTAGTGCGTTTCGAATTTCCTGGCTGAGCACAGACACTTCCTGTAGTGCTTGCTGGTTGCCTGGCAACCGATGTGTACGGAAAAATGTTTCCTCCATTAGCACCAAGCTTAATCTAACTCTTAATGCTCCAACAAATAAAAGTTTAATAAAAAAATCCTAATTACATTTTTAACATATTTTGAGGTATTTTAATAGTTTTACAAATTAATTTTACATTTCAACGAGGACTTAACCATTCCAAGTCAGCTCGGCTTGACTTGGACTGTCAGCCTACTATCTATCTGCTCTAATTTAATTTGTCCGACTTCGTGACGTCACTGGAGTGACAGAGCAGCCGTGCTGGGGGGAGGAGGAGGAGGAGGAGGATCTCTCCCCACAAGTTTACTTTGCCCTTTGAGGGAGATGAGTTTCAGCCTCAACAAACGCGCCGTGAGAGGACCGGTGCGTGGGGAGTAAAAAGCTTGAGAGCACGCTGAAATCTGCTGAATTCAGGATTACCGGCGGGCCATGGACGCTTCGGTGTAGCGGAGTTTGTGTGCGGATTCCCGGGTTGTGCGCCTGCAGCTGAGCGGACCGCGCAGCGCGACTCCAGGCGGCTCTGAAGGAAACCATATCTGGTCAAAGTATTCGTTGCTGTCACACAGCGGGACCGTCCGGCTATAAATAGCGCTGGAGGAGGAGGTACGGAAATAAATGCAAAAATGATACTGGAGGCTGTGAAATAGTCAAATTAGCGAGGGCAGCACACGAAGTTTGAAAGAGTGTTAGTGTGCACTTAAAAAAAAAATACTCATAAAACATAAGTTTCCACGTGGTCTTTTGGGATTAAAGAGAAAGCTATGATTTTACACTTGTTCTCCCTCCTGTGTGGAAATGCTTTACTGGCTGCTGAGTCTAAATGGCACCCTTCAGGTCTCACAGTCAGAGTCTTTAGTAGGCCTACACACAGTGTAGTAGTGCAGGGTAGACGCAGCTATAAGGAGTTTACTTATTTTTCAGTCTCCACAGGGTATACCCATTTCTAAATCTCCTCTGATTAACACCAGTGATTGTTTGACAGTACTCAGTAGTATGCTACAGTTTTCCCCCCTACTCTGTCTCTAATTGGCTAACTTGCACACAAACTAAATATATAAGAGTAGTATTACATGACACGTTTATAACAGGCTATTTTTCCTTTGCTTAAAAAAATTATACCCACTTTTTTAGGCACCACTGCTTGTACCCTGTGCCTGCATTACAGGGTACTCTCTCTACAAGATATTGGTGAATCTCTATATATAGAGACCAACTTAATGCCAGCTGTGCAGCTGTTTGAATGCATTCATCAGAGTGCTGCTGTATCTATTAACCTCTCTGTGGAAGCTCGACTGACTTATTAAGACGATTTAAAAAAGGCTTGAGCTCAGATGCGACGATGTCACTTTCTGTATAAAATCTTCTTGCATAATCGGGCTGTCAGTCAACAAGATGTGCGAGATGCAACAGTTGTCTGCCGGCATGTCGATCGTCAGCTCCGTTGTGACCTACATTCATCACTGTAGAGTTAATGGAGATCTGTAACCATGGTTACCTGGAAAGTTGTTGTTTTCCTCTTTGTTTCGTTTATAGAAACCTCCTGAGTAGACTTTGTGTTTCACTGACACAGGAGGTCATCACTCTGGAGCCGTTTGTTTCTAATCTATTGCGGCATGGAGTTTAATTTTCTTACTTTTTCTAATTTTTCCTAACTTGCGTATGTGAGCTCTTCTTCTCTTGGATAAGTAATGCATCATATCTACCTTTTTACCTTAAAGTGACACTGATGGTTAAAGTGATCAGAGACATTTTTTGACCTTTGCAAGTCCATTACGACGACGAGAGCTTATTTTACAGTCCATGATATAGAAGCTCACACAGGGCCCCAAAGTGGAGACCTACACGACACAGGAGGGAACCACCAGTGATGAGTTTAGTTTCCTTGGCACTTAAAATAAGTCAAATGAGAGAAGAAGAAAAACTTTATTTATAAAACACCTTTAAAAACACGACTTAACAAAGTTCTGCAGAATCAAAATACAGAAAAACATGAACAACAAAAAAGAATCCAAACCATCACTAGACCCATCGCGAGATCCATCATAAGTACAATTATTAGAGCAATCAGTAGAACCATCATTAGACACATTATCACAAGATCCATCAGAACCATCACTAGACCTGTTAGAAGAACCATCACACCATCACCGCAAGATCCATCATTAGACCCATCAGAACCATCACTAGACCTGTTATAAGAACCATCATCAACTCAGCTTTATTTATATAGCACCTTTCATAAATAAAAACATGCAGCCCAAAGTGCTTCACAAAAGAACAGAATTAAAACACAAAGAATGTCAAATACAAAAAATTGACATTTTAGTACTGACATGAAATAAAACGATATTAAATAACTCCTAATTAAAAGCCAGATTAAAAAGGCAGGTCTTCAGTTTGAGTTTAAAAACACCCGGAGAGCTTTCTGTTCTGATGTCCAGAAGCAGCGAGTTCCATAGTTTGGGGGCATAAAAACAGAAAGCTCTCTCCCCGGTGCTCATGTGGGTCACATGAGGGACGTTTATCAGACCCATCTTTAGACCCATCAGAACCTTCACTAAACCTGTAATAAAAACCATCATAAGAAACATCAGAACCATCATCAGACCTGTTATAAGAACCATCACTAGACCCATCGCAAGATCCATGATGTCATTGTAAGAACAATCAGTAGAACCATCATCAGAACCATCACTAGACCCGTCATCAGAACCATTGTTAGACCCATCGTCACATTATCACAAGAACCATCAGAAGACCCATCAGTAGAACCATAGTAAGAGCCATCAGAACCCTCATAAGACCCACAGCAAGATCTATCATCAGAACCATCAGACCCATCATAAGAACCTTTAGAAGAACCATTACAAGATCCATCATGAGAACCATAAGAACCATCACTAGACCCGTCATCAGATCCATCACTAGACCCATCATAAGAACTTTTAGAAGAACCATCATGAGAACAAACATGAGAACTATCAGAACCATCAGTAGACCCGTTATAAAAACCATCGCTGTAACACCTGTTGGTTTGCGGTTTTCACTTCTGTCAGAGAAGCCAGCACTTCAACAGAGCATGTTTCCTTAATGTCCGATCATGTAGTAAGGCCACTTTATCATTTAATCCACACTCAGATCTGACTGATTGGACCTTAAATCCAGGAATACACAGGAAACAGAAACACAAGGATACAATCGACAAAATGAAACAGGAAATCAAATTTCAGTAATAAAACAAAGGAATCAACGGACTAAACGACGGTAAATCGTGAATCCAGTTTTTGGCAGCTCTGAGCGCACGAGTGAGTTTTACACAGATCTTCTCTGCTGTGTTTATGTTAAAAATCGAGCTGAAAGAGACGCCATTATGGCTCTTTGCACTGCAGGAGCGGGCTGCATGCTGACCAGTTGCCGTGTGACATCAGTGTGAAAGTTTAACACCCGGGCTTCTTGACTGATGATCGTGAATCAGTGCTGCTATTCTTAGAGGTTTGAGGAATGAATAGGACTAGTGTAGAGGTCAAAGGTAGGTAAGACTTAGTGTTTTTGACTTTACAGGCTACCGTCTGGTTATTCAGAGAGTCTCTCTTTCTGCCCCGTGAACATCCAGCGGAGCAGAAGTGTGTAGAATCGTTGTAAAAACAAGCACAGGTCTGGTTGATTTCAAGAGAGCTTGTCGGACTCTTCCAGCAGCATTTATTGGACTTCAGCCCAGTTCTTCTCTGGTTTTGGAAACATGTCATGTCACAGAGCAAAGGGAACAAAAGAAAGGCACACTTGACCCAACCTTTTAGGAGGTTATCAGAAACACACGTGCTGACATAAGATCAAAAAGAGATGCTTTCAACCATATACAACACATCAACATGTTCTCCTCTTTGGGTGAGTTTTCAAGCACAATCTTTTCCCGCCTAATTTAACAGCAGTTGGTTTTAAGTTATTTCTAGACGTGTCATGTCGACGTCTATCAGCCGAAGTAGTTCACAACATGTCTAAAACCCTGAGACATACTTTTAAGGACCAGGGGTTTAGACAGCAGCTTGCATGCTAAGCATTTGGTGCTGTGACCCAAAAAACCATCAGCTGCAGTTCATCCATCATCAGTTATCTGCCCTGCAATGTAGAGAAGGGTTAGAGAGGACAACAGTTCTGTAGTCGGTCCTGCAGGCCCGGTTCTAGACTGCTTTGCCTGGGGGGCATTAAGTAATGTTGACTGGGATAGTGTTCTATAGGACTGTAGGCCAAAACATGCACGGTTCTATGTTATCTAAATCTAAAGCCAAAGAATATAATAATGCAAATAGCCATTAATGTATTTAATTTTAAACCTCAGAGAGAGCGAGAGAGAGAGAGAGAAGAAAGACAGCTGACACCCTCAACCCTTCCTCAATGATGGTAAAACATAAGAGAAAACGTTGGCACTGAGGGAGTCTCACACCTAAAGAATATAAAATAATATAGTATCAGCAATATGCAAAATAGTTGTTTTAAACATCGACTCTGATTTTCACACCTCCGCTGTAAACACTGCTGACCATGAGATTCACTCTGCAGAAAGCGGTTTCAGATTTTTTATCAGAAAAAAATAAACTTAACCATAAGTCAGCCTGTCCATTTGAGACAGGCTGCATGGTGGTGCAGTGCTTAGTGGGGCTGTTACCTCACAGCGAGGAGGTTCCTGGTTTGATGAATGCTTAGGACGAAATCTGCAAAGAAATTAGATGAACTGCTTTGTCCACAGGGGCGCAAAAGTGGTCACAATTCTTTTTTTTTTTTTAAGTCCAACTCTGCTGAAAAGTAATCCACAGCCACAGGGTGGCAACATATAATATATAATAGAATATAATGTGGCTGTTAGTTTAAGACTTAAGCAAAAGTGAGCAGTTTTAAAGATTTATTTTTGGGCTTTTTGTGCCTTTGTTAGAGAGATAGGACAGTTGATAGAGATGGAATTATGGGAGAGAATGAGTATGGGTCTTTCAGGAAAGGATCCACTGGTCCACCCGGAGGACTATAGCCTCTGTACATGGGGTGCGCACACTAACGACTAGGCTACCGGCGCCCCAAGTGAACAGTTTTAAACTTGTGGAGGTAAGACAGTTGAAGGTCTGTCTGTTGAAAGCATCACTTGGGTTGGATTCTTCCAAATACTTCATCTAGTCCCGCTTTAGTGCGGATAACATTTCCAATATGATAAATGGATAACATTTCCAATATGGTGACCGCCATCATTGCTCTTCAAAACAATGCTTTAAAAACTAGTGGGAGACGTCACTACGTCCATGTTTTACACCAAACTCTGGTTGATTGGGTTCCTCAAAGCAGCCTGAAAGCTTACTCATGTTCTTGCATTTCTCAAAATGTAAAATCGATCCATTTCAAGCAGATACCCAAAAGAAATCTAGCTACTAAATCTTAGAATTTAAAAAAGGTTCATCTTCCTCCTGAGCCAAACACGTCCATGTGGAATGTGAGTTGTAAATCTGAATCATCAGTACACCTGTATCAGCTGACCTTCAAAGGTCACGCCCCCTCAGATATTGTAGGTCAAGCAGAAGCTACTTTAAAAGGTAAAAAAGTTTTTACGACATGGCATGAAATTAAAGAAAGAAGACCTTCTATGCCAAACAGAGATCTGAATATAATAAGAACGTCTGGACGACCTACTGTAACTCTTCCTCCCTTACTTTAAGTGATTAATCCCTCCACTCTTCTTCCTCCTCCAGGACCGACTCTTTGCCAAGGAGCGCTGCAGGGCACTTGATGTTCTGTTGCTTTTATATACCTGAGCTGGGGGGACACTGAGGTGAGTAGTTAAGTTTGTTTGTGGGATAAAACAGACACTATGTGACATCATGATTCATTTTAAAAGTGCTCTCTCTGCTCATTCTGTCTGCAGATAAAGATTCTTGTTTCCAAACTTTGGGATCCCTGTGAGCCTCTGGTTTCCTACATTTGATCTTTCTCGTTTGGAAGGGTTATCGAGGTGAGAGAGTTACAGCCCGACCGATTAATCAGCATGCCGATAATATCGGCCGATATTAGCATTTCAAGCATTTCGGTATCTGCTAAATTTACCTCCAAAATACACCAGACAAATACCATGTAATTTGAGTATCATTGTAGTACACTAGCATGTCTCTTCCTGGCTGTCACCAGCAGAGGGCGCTCTATGGATTACAACTAGGGCCCGACTGAGTTTTTGAGGCTGATACTGATATCGATATTGGGAAGAGAAAAAATCTGATACTGATAATTTGGCTGATAAATTTCTTTGATCTTTGTTCCATATTTAGAGATGGATAGAAGCAACTTGAAGGTTAAAAAATCCATCCTACTCCATCCAAATGTTTGAGATGAAGATACTGATTCTCTTTTCCACAGAGGTGTGCTGTCCATCATGTCGGTGCTGAAGAAGGAGATGGAGAAATACAGGGACATAGACGAGGACGAGCTGCTGAAGAAGCTGTCGGAGGAAGAGCTGCAGCGATTAGAGGATGAGTTAGAGGAGCTGGATCCTGACGTAAGTTTAGAATATAGAGCCCATAAGGAGGAGTTCATGTCACTTTGTTGGTGTCAGCGGAAAGTGATGTGGTCACACAGGCTAAACATCGCCCCCTGATGTATTACAGTGCAGTATGGTGTGTAGTCCTATATACCTGTGTTTGCATTTATATTGCAGTGAGCTTATCTCTGGTTCTTTGCAGTCCAACGGTTTTAAATTCCAAACATTATAATGCCTCATCACTGAAGGTTGTAGTATAAACGATGCTGCCACAGCGTTAGTACAAAGCAGCTGATAAAAGGTGCTTTGAGTGCCACATCAGCTGTTTTCACACGTGCACTCCTGCAAATATCTAGATCCTTTCAGGAGGACTGCTCCTGAAATCCTCCTGATCTGGTTGTTCACACATGCACCTCACAGCAGGAGACTATCGCTGTCAGTAGCGGACGAATCAACAGACTCCTCGATACGACGCTGTAATGAGAATATGTGTCTCTAAAGATTTATTTTTGGGCTTTTTGTGCCTTTATTGTAGAGATCGGACAGTGGATAGAGTTGAAAATCAGGGAGTGAGAGAGTGGGGAATGAGATGCAGGAAAGGAGCCACAGGTGGGCGCACGCCCAGAATATTTGTCTTCATATCAATGCTGCGTGTAGTTGAACAGAATCTCAATGTGAACTAAAGACTGGAGAAGAACATACTGGAGGACAGGAAACAAAATGCAGCAGGTTCATTAGAGCACAGAGATGGTAGAAGTCGTGCAGTGATCGTAGGGAACAAACGTCCCCTAGTGGTTTATAAAGAGTATCCAAATATCTATTTCTTGTGTCATCGATTTGAATTGTCCATATGTGTATTGTAAGGTGTCTTTACGTTCGTATTCCAGTCTAGCAGAGTGATCCAGGACATGTGGGTACTTTGTGGGTTATACTTGTAGGTGTTGTGTTTATTTCTGAAGATGATGCTCGTAGTGCCAGCTCTGTTCCCTCAGTGATGTATCACGGGTTGAGATGGCGACAGCAGCTGTAATAGCTCTCTGATGAATGTCTGACTGCTCGCAGAGAGACCGGACTCCCCCTCAATGCCAAGGGGATGACAGGAAGGGCTGTGTGTGTGTGTGTGGAGTGAGTGAGTGAGTGTGTGTGTGTGTGTGTGTGACGTCAGCAGTAGAAACAGTGGGAGGCAGTGCGTGCGTACTTCCCTGTTTATGAGGGTAACTTGTTACACAAAGTTAAGTGCTGCTTTGCTGTGGGACAAACTGTAACCTTCCCAGCATGACTTCCTACATCACTTCTAGTAAGCTGCTGAATGTGCTGTGATTGTGCCATGATTCATTTGTTTTCAGTTATTAAGAGAGTAGAACTGTGGGGCAGCTCAGTGTGTACTAAAACACAAATATACAGGACAGACGCACTTTAGCTCTGACTGGTTTTTAACTTTATCTAAAGGCGCACTCACACCAGGCAATCTGTACCGGGCCCCCAGAGTCCACTTACTTTGACTACTGTGAATGCTCCGTACTGACTTCCTTGGCTCTGCACAGTTGGATGAGGTGTGCTTTGGAAGAATCAACCAAAACCACTCACAATAAGCCACAACGTCAGTGAAGTTGCCGTCATGTTCTCCGTTTTGTTCTCCATTGTGCTGACTCTGAGACCGCACTTCTTGTAAAATGCAGTTCATGATGACGTCGTAAAGCCATGTGTGAGTCGTATTTTGAGGTGATGACGATGTACGAGAGGTAACCGTGTTCACACACCGTTGGGACTACAGTGATGTGAGTGCAGGCCAGTAGAGGACTGGGAGAGAGGAGGGGGGGGGGAATCCTGCTTCGGCGCAGTACGGAGCGACTGGGCCTAGTGTGAGTGTGCCCTAAAACACCGGGGTCGGCATCGGCCACCCTTGAAATCTGATCTAAGAGACACATTTAAATTTCAGTCAGACAACTCACCTTTGTATTTGTTTACAATAGTTTGCATTTGGCGTCCAGGCTCGGACCTCATCACTCCTCACAGTTTTATTTTACATGCAGAATTTTGAGGAGTGATGGGATGATATCTTAAACTCCCCCCCCCCCCCACCAGTCTGAGCCTACAGGTGGATGCTCTGCTGGTGGTGGAGCTGAGAGAGAGAGCAGAACTTCTGCAGGTCAGAGCCGGCGATGAAAGAGCAGAGTAAGAGAGCGGAGATCTTGCAGATTAAATTGACTGCCAATTTGGTGTTGTCAGGTGATTGTGGATAATGAAGTGTGAAATCAGTGCAGCTCGAGTTGTCTGCCTGAACGAGCTCACTGGCATCGCCTCATTTAATCCCTGAGATCACTTGGTTATTATTTATGACCTTTTCTTGGACGTGGAGTGCTTGGTCTCCCAGATGCTGCTGTGTCCGTTTGTTGTGTTTGACACAAATTTCAGGGCCGAGCCTGCATAAGTCAGGGCCTTAGCTAGGCAACCTCAGTCTGCGGGGAGCGCGCAGGAGCAAAAAGCAACGCCGCCCGTTGCTAGGTGAACTAAGCAATAGTCGGGAAAATATCTATCTCTTGAATGTACAGTATGTTTGTATGTTTCCACTCTTCAGTAGAAAGCTCTGACCGTTCTACTGCTGAGGAGGAGGAGACCAAAGAAGAAGAAGAAGGAGAGGGTATGTGTTCATGTAATCCTCAGGTCACAACAGGATGTGGGAGAGTTCAGACTCGTCCAGGAGCTGCAGCACTATAACGACCGCTTCACATTTCTACTGCTGGTTTAAACACACCTGGTACTCCCAAACTGTCGGACATTTCTTTACAAACTAGAACTCTCTCTCCGATGTCCCAGTGCGTCTTTAGACTGGAGCTCAGGAAAGTGGGACACCGTCTGTTGTGATCTGATTTTCCCTCCTATTGGAGCGCTCCACCTAAGTTGAACATTTTTTAACTTCAGCGCAGTGTCAAAGCAACACATAGAAAATGAATAGGCTCCAGCGCGTCCTATCTGAAAGACCCTTAAAAGTGCAAATATGCTGCTGGGAATGGCAAGTCGGTGATTTATTGCCGGTTTAAAAATGTTCGTACTTTTAATTTCTTACACTCATCCTGAAAGTGAGGCTGTGTGTCTCAGCTCCTCTGAACGTTGAGGTCTTGGTGGATTGGTCCTGTTGCATGCATGTGCTAATAGATGCTCTCTGTTGTGGAAAACAAAACGGAGGAGAGAAAGATAGAAACCCAAATGAGGTACAGTGGAGATGGACTGAGGGAGAAGAGGGAAGTACAGTGAGCAGGGACAGGAGGCTCAGTGTGGTAAAAATAACATGTCGGACTGTAAGCGTGCCTGTTATCTGTAGCTGAACAAACCTGTGACATAAAAAGCTCAGGGGCGAGAGAGTGAGATACTCCCGACTTCTCTATAAATACTTCTGTAAGTCACATGAACATTTATGAAGCACTAATGGAAAGGAAGAGGGAGACTGGACATACAGAACCAAACATTCCTGCTGTGACAGTGTAAATACTTTGATATCATAAAAAAATTATTCTCTCACACTTTTGTTGTCTTATTATTTGGAAGCTTTAAGAGAGATGAATAAGGGTGAGAGAGACAGAGAGAGAGAGGAGTTCAAGTGCTGAGAGGAAAGATAAGATATGAAGCTATTAGTAGCTCTTGTGAGAGTTGGCTTCTAAATGTTGCTTGAGCTTGAAAGTAACACGCCGAGCTGTGAGGCTCTGGGAAATGTCTTTGCCCTGTGTGGAGCTGGAGCCAAGAGATTGACTGATGTGGGAGCTACATTAACCAGAGCAAAGATACTGTACCAGCATTTATAGATACCTGATAGATAGATACCTAGATTTAAAGGTCACATATTATCAGCCTTATTTAACAAGTTTGAAGAAGCTCCCTAAAACATGTGTGTGAAGTTTCTTGTTCTTAATCCACTCTGATCCTGTATATGATCATGCCTATAAACCCCTCTATTTCAGCCCTGCTCAGAACAGGCTGTTTCTGTGTCTGTACCTTTAAATGTAAATGAGCTGTGTCTGACCACGCCCCCTCTCTGGAAGGGCTTGGGTGTCTGGGGCTTTCTCGCTGCATGTCCTTTTGTCTACGGTGAAAAGGGCAGAACAAACACCTAGTTGTGGGAGTGTCACCCACCTGGGGCAGGGGCTACTGCCCTTTGTGATGTCATGAAGGGAATGTCTCCAAACGGCCTGTTTGAGCACATATTTTCTGAAAAGTGGAGCAGGCTAAAGACGAGTTTATAGACAGACACATATTAGATTTAGAGAAACATGGTGAAGTGGATTTAGCATTATGTGACCTTTAATATGTCAAATTTTATCTCGTTAGAAGTCTCTAAGGCTCTAAAAAAAAAGTACTGTCTTGCAAAAAGATGTAGTGTTTAATTTAAGTACATTCTGCTCTCTGCACTGGCAGATATTTTTACTCTGTGCCGTTTCGCCTTCAATCTGAATGTAATGGAGGTGTAATGGTGGGACGCAGTGATCCCCCCTAGGTATCAGCAGAACCAGCAAGGGAACACATCTCTGTGTGTGTGTGCATGTAAAGCTCCCACTCCTTCCGTGCCAAAACATAATGTGAATTCACAGACTGGGACACAAATATTACAGTCGCGGAATCAATATGAATGTAAAAAGACGAGATGATGGGGCGCAGGTGACGCAGTGGTTAGTGCGCGCGCCTCATGTGTGGAGGCTGTGGTCCTTCAGGTGGGCGGCCCGGGTTCGAATCTGGCCTGTGGCTCCTTTCCTGCATGTCGTTCCCCGCTCTCTCTCTCCCTGATTTTGGGCTCTATCCACTGTCCTATCTCTCGATTAAAAGCCAAAAAAGACGATGGCTGAGCTTAGTTAGGGCTCTAGAAAAAGGTCTAACAGTGAAATTATTTAGGCATGATTAATCGCAAAATTTCAAGAGTTAATCGTGATTAATCACATTTTTAATCGCATTTTTGAAATTCTATTATTTTGCATTTATAAATAACATTGTGAGGCTTTTATTTTGAAATAAAGTAAGGTCCTTATGGTAGATTGAAGGTTAGGAAATGAAGTTAAGCAAAAAAACAGGAAGTGGTTAGGGATCCCAAAGTGAGGTGAAACAGCTCAAAGGAAAGGTAACATAGGTCAATGTGTGATGTCATGAGGTCAATGTGTGATGTCATGAGGTGGATATTACTTTGGGCTCGTCAGCTGAACTGTCTGAGAGTTTGTTAAAGTGAAATGAGACATTCAAAGATGCAGCAGAGTCCTTCTTTTACATCACTGAGACTACAGGGAGACACTGAGGATGACTATCTACGATGAGCCTGAAGTAATGCCGAAGTCCTCAGAGTCATTAATTTATGATCCGATCGTGTTCATTCTCATCCATATCTAGAACGCATTGTTGCCAGCTGGGATGCGGCAGAAAGACCAGACAAAGAAAGCTCCGACGGGGTCGTTTCAGAGAGACAATCTACTCGCCCATCTGGAGAAACAGGCCAAAGAGCATCCTGACAAAGAAGACCTGGTGCCCTACACGGGGGAGAAGAGAGGTAAGAAGATGAACTACAAATAACAGATTTAAAAACAACAAAACAAACGAGAGGGGGGTTTAAACATTTTGAAACAGTCAACAATCAATAACATGTTTATTTTTTTTGCTTAAACTTGAAATTGTGAGTTCTTAGGTCCAAACTCAAATTTGGTGATCATTGTTTAAATTAGGGTGGATCCTGTCCTTGCTAACCTTCATGGGCCCCTCCATGCAGCTGGGCCCCAGAAAGATCCCCCATTTTTCCCCCCTTATGGGCGTCCTTGTTTGTAGGACGCCCATAAGGGGCCAATAAAACAAATATTGGGGGGGCTACTTATAACAAGGCCTTCACCACTTAAAGACCCTTTATTTTGAAAATCAAGTTTTTAACCTTGTTTACATATCCATATGGTGATTTAAATTGGTTTCACACTCAAATTGGTGGACACTGAAGCTTCAGTGTTTAGCCAGCTCTGCATCGGTCTGTAAACCTTTCTATGTTCTAACCTCTCTCCATTTTTCAAAAGCATCTCCAATATTGATCCTAGTTTGAGCACGTTTCTGCTCGTGGAGCTTATTAGAAACATGCAGAGGCTTTTTAGGTCGGGTACAATCACTTCTATCTGAACCAGTTCTCTTGCCCGCTTCCATCGCTGCAACACCTGTTGGTTTGACCTGATAACTACTCTCATATCTGGCAAACTGAGGGGCGTCCAAAACGGCCGTGTGGGGGTGCCTTAAAACCGCCTACCTTCTCTGGTCCAAATAAATCCAGAGCATTCAGGACCAGAATCTAAAGTTAGAAGTAGGACATACTGGCTGCTGGATTGTTGTCAGAGAAGCCAGCACTTCAACATAGCATGTTTCCTTAATGTCTGATCATATAGTAAGGTCACTTTATCATTTCACTCACTACACATCTCACTGATTGGACCTTTAAAGACGTAATTTCAGTTCAATTAATTAAAGCCTGAGAGAATTAACTGTAAAAGGAAATATTGGTGGCCGTGTTACAGAACATGTGGGCGGATAAAGTCTCTGCTCCTTCTTCAGATTGTCCGTCGTCGCCACACTTCATGTTTTCTCTTCAATGCTGTCGCTCTAAAACAAAGCACATTAGTCTTTGCTCCACTGCAGTGTGAAGCAGGTTGATATTGTACTCCTTTGAACTTTTAACCCTGCAGTTAACGATTTGCAGCACTGTGGTGGTATGTCTGGGATCAGATGAGGACAACACTCAGGGCGAAGTCTCGCCCTGCCGCTGCCAGCAGCTCGTTTCTATACGGGGATCCAAAAAAATGTCCCGCTGAAACTCGAGGAGCTGACCACACACACAGCAGTGAAGACATAAATCTGAGGGTCTTTACAGTCCGTCAGACATGGTGACGGCAGCCCCGGGTCCGGTGAGACGTGGTGAAGGGTCCTCACCCAGCTGTTATGTCAGAGAGCCTCTCAGAGACCTCAGCGGGGTACCTTACCTCACTTGACCTTTACATTTGAAACTTTGAAGACTTTAAGATCTTTAATATTTCTGTTATGCCGAGGTCAGACTACACGTTTAAAGGTTGATCTTGAAGACGTAGGGTTTTGGACCAGAAAGCCACAGAAATCAGTCGTTTTAGCTCGTGTAATGTTTCATAGTGAACGACAGTAAACGCCGCTTCAAGCCTCGTGTTCCCCCCAAACACAAAGTCTAGCATGTTAGATTTTTTTGAGAGCACCGAAAAAGCACCGATGCGCAAAAGTCACAAACAGCGTAAACAAACAAAATGTGGAAGTGAAAAAAGAAGAATTAAGTTGGTGAGACGGAGTAACAGTTCATCGAGCTCGGCAAACAACAGTTTTTGTTTTGTTTTTTGTTTTGTGTTGGGACTCTACATGCTACATACTTAGTCCCTAGTCCCTAAAAGTCACTCTCAGCTGCTTTAAAGGAGCGATATGTAACTCTGACACCTAGTGTTTAAAATGGGAACTGCAGTCCACATTCAGAGCATTGTAGAAAGCTGTCATTTCATTATCTCATTTACTACACATCTAACTGATTGCTCTGTTAAAGTAAAGATATTATATATAAGATATTCATTCTCATTTTGTGCAAGATTTTATGCAGACAAAATAAAGTATCTTTTATCTACTATGCCATCGTAGAAACACCATATATATATAAGTCAGCCCTTTGATTGTCCAGGGTGTAACCCCGCCTCTCACCCAATGACAGCTGGGATCGGCTCCAGACCTAGGACAGGAAAAGCACTACAGAAAATGGATGGATATCCCACTCCTGCTCAAAAGTTTTGAACGATGCAGACTTGATATTTTATCGAGACAGAAACAAACAGTGAAAGAGGACAAGAGAGGCGGGAGAAGTGTGGAGACAGAAGGGGAGGGGGGAGCTGAGGGATGAAGGAGGCGTGTCCAAAGCTTTGTTTTGGTCTGAAAATCTGCTCTGAAAGTCACATAGTGAGCCTTTTGGCATGTAGTGTAAAGCGCTCTCAGTGGCCTGAAGTCCGACTCAAGTGAAGTGACCTCTGAACATTTAAAGCTATGTGAGGCTTCATCCCAGTTCAGCCTGAGCACGGCTCTGATTGGCCTCTTAAAGTGGGGGAGAGGAGGTCGACCTTTTACACTAAATACATCAGCTAAGTGTTGGATGCTTATCCTTACGGCAGTTATCTGCTACTTATGCACTGATCAGCTGCCTCCACAGTTTTTAAACCGTTTATATTTCTCCCTTCATGTCGTAGGTAAAGCCTGGGTGCCTAAGAAGATCGTGGATCCCATCATGGAGAACGTGACTCTGGAGCCGGAGCTAGAAGAAGCCCTGGCGAGTGCTTCTGATGCTGAACTGTGTGATATCGCAGGTAACCACACACACACACACACACCACCGGCCCATGAGCATACATCACTGGTGTCATTTTAACCATTTCCTGCCAGTATTTTGTTCTTTGCATCAAAAAGTTGTTCTGTTTCCTTTCAAAATAAAATGACTTTAACACTGTGTCCTCCCTATGTTCCCTCATTTCTATCATATTTCCCCCCCCCATCAAAATTACCCCTCAGGCCTAACTTCCCCCAGCATCAAGGCGGGCCCTTCTATGATGCACATTATGTGTTGTTGCAATGCTCTGAGCCTAGTTCTTCCTTTTTTGTTGCCATTGTATCAAAACAGGTATCAGGATGGTTTGATTTTTACTCGTATCATATCGAAGTTTAAAATTTCTGGTATCGTGACAATCGTAAAAGAGCTCAACAGTTTGGTTCCGGAAGTAAATATCTCGTTCATTTTCTAAATTGGCCGATTTGATTATTAGTCATTATGTCATAACCATCGCAGGTAGACTGACCACGAGCTACCTGAGTGTGACACGATGGTTTATGCTCCTGTAAGAGACACAAACTTATTAAACCAATTTAAGTCACCATATGGATATGTAAACAAGGTTAAAAACTTGATTTTTAAAATAAAGGAGCCAGAGTTTGGATTTGAACCCGGACAGCCAGCTTGAAGGACCACAGCCTCCTCACATGTAGCCCCTTTTTTTCACAGATTTATATATTCAACAACACAAACTACAAGAAAGTACAAACACTTGTATTAACAGAATAAATACGATAACAAAGACTAAAGTTACATTTAAGAAGAGGGATCGTTCACAATGCATTGTGGGATGTGTAGTTCCTTTTTACCTTTAGTCTTTTTCTCCGTTTTTAACGCCTTTTTGGCAAATGTTAATAGTCACGAGCATTGGCGTAGCTGGTTGTCATGGTTACAGGATTTTGTGAAATGTCAACAGCGGATTTGACCGGGGAAATTTACCTTCGGAACCAGAGCTGCTAAAAAAGTTGGCGGCCACTGTTGAGCTCTTTCGGAATATACTTCTTTGCAAAAGTTCATCCTATTTTTTATCCGGATTTTTAAGATGAGAAGGCTAAGTATGAAAACATGCATTAATTGATGTTCATCCTCTGGATCTCATTGGTTGAACTGACCTTAGTTCCAGTATCTGATCCTTCATTATCTTCTCCCACTAATCAATAAAACACCATCGCAGCCTCAAAATCACCTCATTCATTTGTTTGTCCGTAACCCTAATCTTCTCCATTTCCTCTAGCGCTCCTTCCACCTTACCTCCACCCTTCCCCTTCATCCCTCCATCAGTCCCTTCATCTCCTCCACCTCCTTCACCCCTGCTGGATTTCTCTGTTTGCTAGCTGACCACCATTCAGGGTATCTGCAGACTGCACACAGGGCTGCATGCAAAGTGTCAGCTCCTCTTGTCATGTTTCTGTTGTTTGTTTGCTTCTGTGTCGACGACACAGAAGCTAAAGAATGCAGCTTGTCTCAGTGAGACAATAATGTTCATTAAGTGGCACAAAACTCCTGAAAACTTCCTGACATTTACAGGGGTGAATGCAAACAGCTGAATCTTAACTCAGAGTTTTTCCTGCCGTTGCCTGAGTTGATTTTCCACCTGCAGCTGATGTGAGAACGCAGCAGGAAATATTCAGAACTATTACTAGCTAGCGAGCGGGAGGGTGAGGTTGAAGTTTCTCTCCTGCAACTGGCGCTCTGCCGATGCGATTTAAAGCCCCTTTTTGGCCAAAGGTTCCCAGAACTTTAAACTTCAAAGGACTAAATGGTTCATGTGGCACACAGCATTTACAGGATTATTTTTAGTCCCCCTGCCCCACTCCTCTGCTGGTCTGCGTCCACATTAGTAATATAGTTCTGTACCCGAGATACTGTTCATGTACACAATCCAACAGCAGAATACATCGGTGTCTGCCCCAAAAAACCTACATCAGTCAGTCCCTAGTCCCTAGACCTTTAGAAAGTACTAGCCCCCTAGCAGAGTCTTTTTAAGGGGTAGATCTCTTACCCAAGAACTAAATTTAGACCCTGGTTCCTGCAGTCGAAATGCACATAGTTCTTCAAAAGGTCCCTAGTTCTGGGGGAAAGTTCCTGCAGTCTAAAAAGGGCTCGTGCACATAACTGCTTCATTATATTTTCTGTTTGCAAGTATGTCCTTCTCCGCTCTTCCATGATTCAGTGAATTTGTCGAACTACATGAAGCACTGATTTAAGACAAAATCATCATCATAGCATCATACAGTGTTGCTTTGTTAGCCACTCCCTGGGTTGTTATTTTGCGTCATGTTTTTGCCTCCCATCTGACGGGGAAAGTCCCGTACTGTGAGGCGCATGTGTGAACGGGAAAATCAGGAAGCCTGCTTGAAATTGTCTAGAAATTTTCAGGAGTGCATGTGTGCAAACTGCTTCGCATGGCTTTACAGAACATACATTACACAGAGGTAGCCTTCCGTTCTCTCTAATGTGTGACTAACATCTTTGACAGTGGCCATTATTTCTGCTGCATGTAAAAACTTTTATCAAAATGGCTTTTAAGGTGACTGAAAATGTTCAAGTCATAAACCAAAACCTGCTGCCTGAGAGATATTTCATTAAGCTCAAAAAGTCCCAGAAGTTGTGGAAGGTAGCATGCCGTTCCTCTTTTAAGAGCAGTGTGTGTTCCTTAACTGTTTATGTCTTTTGCAAAGCGCTCCGTTCTCATGCTCTCCATCTTTCTGACAAACAGATGAGGTGATAATCCTCCCTGAATCATTCCGTTTATATAGCGTCCTCAAGAGTAGCTGCTCAGTTTAGAAACTTATTTTAGCATCACCACTGCCAGGACGCGAGTTTGGTTGCTCAAGTAGAACTTTTTCACACCGTGAAACCTTCCTTTACAGTTTTTATGAAGCAGGTGGAGCTGCCATGTGTTAAACCAGTCGCAGTGTATCTTAACAAACAGCTGCTTGTTTGTGAATCTGTGTCATGTTTGACTTGTTTTCTGCAAGTAGTTTTGTGCATGAGGGGGGGGGGGGGGGTCTGTGACATGACAATCATTACATCTATTGACCTTTCTCAACATTTCCTCTGTTTCTTCTTCTACCACTCTGTCTGTTTCCTTTGTCCTCTCCATCCTCACTCAGTCTTCTTGCTGTCTTCCAGCCATCCTGGGTATGCACACCCTGATGAGTAACCAGCAGTACTATGAAGCCCTGGCCAGCAGCACCATAGTCAACAAGCAAGGCCTCAACAGTATGCACACACCTCGGCACATGCACAACAAACTTATGTAACTGAGTCTCTTATCTGATAGCTGAGCGATCTGTCTTCACTTGGTTTTCATCACAGACACATCTGGGTTTATATCAAGAAGCGAGTTAAATGATTGCTAAAAGAAAGCAGATCACTCAACTAGTCCGAAGCAAATATGACCTCATTTAAGAAAAATGTGGACGAGAGTGGAGTTGGACTGCAATCAAGAGGAATGATCTCATGCTGGCAGAGTGGTGGTTTATTTTATGAAAGATGATTGACTCACTTACAGTCGTTGCACTCGGTGCATGCACAAATATAGTTACACAGATTCAATCAGAGTGCTAAGTCAATAAGCAGAAATGTCGCTCCTCCAGAATGAACAGTCAGGATTCATGTTTCAGGGCTGCACAATTAATCGCGATGTTATCGTCATCACGATTTGAATCTTTGCTCTAAATTAAAAAAAAAAAAAAACACTTTGGATGTAGTCGAGCAATGCTTTCTCACTCAGCATGTGTACATTGCACCTTGTGGACGGATGCCTGAGTGTAGAGTTCATGCTTGCACACTACTTTGATGCAGTCAGACGAAGCTAAAGGTTGCTGTCAGTTCCCCTTAAGGCTCAAATATTATTGCTTTTGAACCACGCGTACTTGTAGACAACCCTCTATATTTTCCTACCTACATTGCGTGTTACTGGAGGATTCCTGTAGAGCAGTGATACTCAGCCTGGTTAGACTTAAGAGCCACATTGACCAAAAAATATTTCCGCAAGAGCCACAATCAAAAAAAACTCTTTCTTTCCTAAAATATGTGTGGGGAACACAGTGACATGACTTGCAAAGAATGATTTCTGCTGACAATTTTTCCCTTTTTTTAAATAATTACTTTGGATTTTTTTTTTTTCCAAGTAGGACCTAAAAGAGTCACAACTAGTCCCAAATGAGCCACATGTGGTTTGAGAGCCTCAGGTTGCGTATCACTGCTCTCGAGGGTGCAACCACACAACTCTACACTGCTCCTAGTGGTTGTATGCATATTGCATTTCCTAGCGTGGTGTAGCGTTAATTTTTGAGGATATGCAAGGCTGATGTCATACGTACGCCTAGTCAAAAGCAAGTACACGCCCCGGGCTTTACATGTGGAAGTGCAAATCAGTGAACAAAAAAAATGTTTTAAAGATTTATTTTGGATTCAGGAGGGAGATGTTGCAAACACAGGTGATGTTTAAAACATGATGAAGAGCAGAAATAAATAAAAACTGAGATATAGCTAATATGCAATCTTTATTTTAAGCTTTTTGTGAGCTGTGACAGAGAAGGGGCTCCTTTACTTTCAAATTAAACAAAGTCACAAAGAGTTTGAGCTGTTATTTTCAGATTCTGATTTGTTGCTCTCAAGTGCCACAAAACAGCACATATGAAGTTTGTTACTGGTTAAGTTTTACATGCAGACAAAGAGAAGATGTGTACCTCATAGAGACGACAGTGAACGACATTCTCGGCTTTTATCTCAAAATTTGAAATACACTTCATTCTTGAGTAACTCAAAGAAATGTGGTGTCCTCATATCTCATACTTTATCTCTTAGAATCCAAACATGTTTAAAAGAAAACCTTTCCTGCCGTGACTCGCTTAATCAACAGTCTGAATGTGTTGAAGGTGTGATCCAGTGCACCCAGTATAAACCAGTCCCCGATGAAGAGCCTAACGACACCGACGTAGAAGAGACCCTGCAGAGAATGAAGAGGAACGACCCAGACCTGGTCGAGGTCAACCTCAACAACATCAGAGTGAGTGCGTGCGTGTCTGTGTGGATGCGTGCATGTTCGCTTTACGGTTCTAAAAATGTTTTTTACTCAAACATGTTTACAACGCTTACTGAAACTTCCCCAACGTATTTGTGAAAATCAGACAGTTTGCAGGAGTGCTCTTGCAGTTTTTGGTTTTAAGAAGAAGAAGAACGTCTCTGTTATTAATCCCTTGAGGGGAAATTAATTTTACACTCTGTTGTTGAACATGCTGCACACACATAGGCTGAAATACACACATGCACAAACAGGATCCTATGAATGTGCACTAATGGAGAGATGTCAGAGTGAGGGGGCTGCACATGTAAGAGCGCCCGAGCAGCTCAAGGTCAGTGAACTGTCCTGACCAATTTCCAGACTTGTTCCAGACTTAAATCAGCGACTCTCCGGTTCCCAACACAAATTGCTACACACTGAGCAATTGCTGCACAATAACATTAAAGCACACTTCTCCATGTTCCTCTAACACTAATATGAGTCTCTTGTCCGTCTACAAACCCCCCAATGATGAGAAAAGTCCGTCCTCTCTGTCTTGAATAAGTTTTTTTCATCTAGGGGTATTCTTTAAATCTTTTTTTCGGGTTAATCTATATGTATGGGAGGGGGGCGTCTGTTTTGTGGTTAATTTGTTACAAATATTTCATGTCATGTACGTCTTTGTAACCTGCAACTGGATGCTTTGAATTTCCCTCGGGGTCAATACAGTATCTATCTTTTTCTTTGCTCCACTTCTCAGATAACGTGTGCTCAAACAGTATGTTTTTGTTTCTCTCAGAACATCCCCATCAAGACTCTGAAGGCGTATGCAGAGGCTCTGATCACTAACAGTGTGGTGGAGAGGTTTAGTATTGTTGGAACCCGGAGCAACGACCCCGTAGCGTTTGTAAGTCGACAAGTGTTCCGTTTCTCTCAGAGCCAGGCCAGGCGAGATCAAATCGTTTAACATCGGATTTGTTTAGATTATATGTATAGACCGACTTTTTGTGTGTACATTTTGTGTGTGTTTCCACCAGGCCCTGGCAGAGATGTTGAAGGTGAACACGACGCTGAAGAGCCTGAACGTTGAGTCTAACTTCATCACAGGAACAGGAATCCTGTCCCTCATCGGGTCACTGCAGGGTAACACCACGCTACATGAGCTCAAGATAGACAATCAGGTGCAAACTGCCACACACAATGACACAACAGGTTCCTGGTTTGAATCCCCGTCTGTCAGGAGTCTTTCTGTGTGGAGTCTGCATGTTCTCCCCGTGCATGTGTGGGTTCTCTCCGGGTACTCCGGCTTTCTCCCACTGTCCAAAGACATGCTCGTTAGGTTGATTGGCAGTAGGTTTGAATGTGATTGTGGCTGGTTGTCTGTCTCTACATGTTCCTGTGATTGCCTGGCATTCAGTCATGGTTGTACCCTGGCAGGTATAACTGTGTATTATCTGCATGAGAAGAAAGTGAATTTATTGTTGACATGAGGCAGTTATTCTTACCTATTTACTCCATCTCCAACCTCTCCTCTGGCTACATTTTCAACGGCAAATCCTGACTTTTGCTAACGTCTTCTCCTTTCTATCCCCTCCTCCTTCTCTCCCCCCTCACCCTCTCTCTCTCTCTCTCTCTCTCTCTCTCTCTCCAAACTCCAGAGCCAGCCGTTAGGCAACAAGGTTGAGATGGAGATAGCCAGCATGCTGGAGAAAAACACCACGCTGCTGAAGTTTGGATATCACTTCACCCAGCAGGGCCCGCGCCTCCGGGGCTCCAACGCCATGATGAACAACAACGACCTGGGTGGGTTACACACACACACACACACACACACACACACACACACACACACAGATGCAACTCTGAGCCCTGAAAAAAAAACGCATACAAACTCACATTCTCATTATATAACATCTCTGAGAAGCTGACTTGAGAAGTTTATGACCTGAGCTTACAGCAAACTGTATCTGATGACTTGTGTTTCTGTTCGTTATCTAACTCGGACACAAGCTCATTATTGCATTTGTGAGCTTTTGTTGCTACGCACGTCGGTGCTGACACTTTATCTTCTCTCTATCTCCTTCGGTTTCGACTTTAATCGCACTCTAATAAAAGAATCTGAGTGATATCATCAACCAGCAACTCAGCAAAGCAGTGCGGCCAGAGAGCCTCAGCCAATCAAAACAGCAGCTTTTCTAAGTCATGACATCATCACCTAGGAAAGAGTCTCTGCATGAGAGAGCGAACAAACACAAACTAATAAAGAAAATGGGCCTTTTCATGTTCTTGCATGCATTTTCATAACCGGTGATGTCATGTTTTGTTTTATTTACAGCGTGATCGTCATCCCAAATTGTGATTGAGTGTGTGTGCCATAATCCTGTCATAACGTTTTTCTCCCCCTCATGGTCTCTTAGCCCGGGCCGTCAGGTCAGAGTCAGACGGCTCCTTCACCCTCACTCTGTCCGTGCCTGAGCTGGAGCGAGCCTTTGGGAAAAAGTTCAAGTCCAAGACTAAGTAATGACCCCCGTCTGTCCGCTGAGGCTTGTCTGTCCTCTGCCTTGGTTCTTCTTTCCCTCGTCACCGGAGAGTGCTGTCTCCACCTTTCGCTCTCCTTTGAGAGTTTCTCTTGCTTTTCCAAAACGTCTCTCATCACGCCTTTTTCATCTGCTGGCCATCTCCGGTTTGCAAAGACAACTGACAGTGTCTCTTAAATTCGGCTGCTTTTCTCTTTCGTCCCAAACATTTTCAGAGTGCATCTTTTGAGCCTCTGCACCACAAGGCGACCCACTGGATTATACGGCGGTCTGGAGGATCCATAAGAAAGTAATAGGACTTTAAATATTTTTAAGATTAGAGCACTTCAAAATAAAACAGAAGAAGGCTAACATATTGAGCGCTTCAGCTGATGAACTCTGGTGCTCTTTGTCAGATAGTCCGTTTGGTTTGATTGGTGTTGTGATGCTTAAATGAACCTGGTGAGGACCAAAGAACTGAACTCCGGTCCGCTTCAAAACAGGGGGTCTCGGTTTGCTTCCAAGTGCACCAGAGTTTGGTTCCTCGCAGGTGAGAACACAATCCCAACCAAACAAGGGAAGTGAACCAAAAAGCAGTGCATTGTGGGTTGAATTTGGCCGTCTTTAAACGATGTAAAATATGTTTGGAGAGCGTGGCTAGCGTTAGCATTGCTAACAACTCCAGCCATCAGTCATCCTTACAGGTTAACGTCCGCCTGCCTGTGCTAAGCGTGTTTACACATCGCTCCGGTCGATCTGCCAGTTTAACCTGACACAGCCGTCATATAACTTTATCTCCATTTTATATATCAAAATTTGCGCTATGGGATGCCACTCTTCCACTGTCCTGTTGTTTACCTCGGGGTCATGGTGCAGCATTAGGCCGGATGGCAGCAGCCAGTGGGCAGAGCTACAGCCCCAACTAGGGATGTTTGGCTATGGTCACATCTGCTTTTCTCCTGTTATTTCCATTTCCATCTATATTAAAAATTCTATCTTTCATCACTAGAAGTACACCGATTGACACAAGTCTTTGGTGTTAGCAAACTGCTGTATGCTAACACCGTTACAACTAGGGTTGCCACCTTCCAAGCAGAAAAATAAAGGACACCCCGCAGCGGGGTGCAACTCAGTAGAGGCCTGACCACCACTAGCCCAACGGTGGGGTGGGCACCAGTTGTGGCGAATCATGATTTAAAACGTTGTTTTAATGAAGTAATAAGAGTCATACTTAAAGTTTTAAGTGCTTTATTAACACTTTTTTCCAAAATAATTTACAAATGCAAAACTTCAGTGTAAAGGCAGATACAGTAATGTATGCACAATGAAATGCACCTAACAGGACTTCAGCAGATGCTTACTACTAGCTAGGCCTAACTAATTTACAACTTAACTTAAACTTCAAATAAAGTTATTAACTTAACATTAATTCATTAACAGAGTTTTATTGAAGTGCTTTTGACACTGCTGTAACATAGAGGGGAGGATGACAGATTTTTAATTAAATAAACAGTAAGAATTTACTAGTATTTTTATTCATTTATTCTGTCCTCCTGTCTTTCGTTTTTGTTGTTTTCTCATGAAATCATGAATGATACTATTAATATGGTTTTGAACTATTTTCTTATTTTATTAATTAAGTGTCTACTGTCGATATATTGATGTTGTATTGATGATATCATGCCCAGGCCATACTGTGAATACAGATTTGGCTAAAATAAATGTCATCTTCTTGTTTTATGTACCGAAAAAATATTCACACTATCCAAACTATACTGGAATAACCTATCAAATATGAAAGTGTAAAATATGGGACGATTCCGTATTTTACGGGACGGGTGGCAACCCTAGTTACAACTTCACCCCTGTATCACACCGAGTCCGCCGGACTTCAAATGTGAGAGCGACCTTAAACACTCTGACTGATCTTCCTACATGCTGGACCCCTTCACCCGCTCTACACTTCTTCTTCTGTCTTCAACATGAGAATGAAACTGTCCACCTCTTGATTCTTCTTGATCTCCTTTTGGCTGATCTGTGACGCTTCTGTCACCTCTATGGTCTTGTGATATCCATGTTTTTGTCTTTTTACCCATCTGATCAGCCTCTTCTCTGAAACAGCTGCTTCTTCTCTTCCTGGATTTTCTGGATGCTTTCATTCTTCTCAGCTCAACCTCTGTTCCTCTCTTCTGCTTCAACCACTTTCATCCAAAGCTTGGATGTCGACCCGGATGATTTGCTGATTTGCAGATTGTTAAGGCAGACCTTAAGGCATGTTGCTTAAGTCAGCAACATTTTGGGGCTGAGAACTACAAGTTTATGAGTTAAAAACAAAATCTAGAATTTTGAAGTTAGAAATGATTGAGTCATCAGACCTCTTTAGTGAGTCCTCTTCATTAGTGCTTTAGGCCTCAAAGCTACATTAGCTGCGATTAGCTTAATTGCAAAGACCAAATTGTTGATATTCATCATGTTGCATTGTGGGGGATGTAAGCAGGCATTAGGTTTTTAATTTTTGGGGCTTTTTGTGCCTTTTTTAAATTGAGAGATAGGACAGTGGACAGAGTTGGAAATCAGGGAGAGAGAGAGAGTGGGGAATGACATGCAGGAAAGGAGCCACAGGCTGCATTCAAACCTGGGCCGCCCGCCCGGAGGACTACAGCCTCCCTACATGGGGCACGCGCACTAACCACTGCGCCACCAGCGCCCCAGGCAATAGGTTTTTTAAGGTAGAGTTAGTAGAAATGTTTGTTGGGCCCAAGCAGGGTTAGCCAGTACGTTTACTTCTTCAAACCTACACTGCAAGCTACCTGAGAATATTCCATTTGTTGTGATGGAAAGGCCGACAATTTAGCACGCTAGCACAAGCTAACTATCTTCCTGACATTTAGGAAATGTCTTTGGTACAACTTTTTCACATTCAAAAATTAAGATTAAACTGAGCAAAATAATAGTTATTTTTCACCGTATTGGCCGCTAAAGCTTTTTTGAAGGGGTGAGATTGCACTCCATGGGGGAATATCAGCAGAAGTTCAAAAGTGTTTGCTTGATGCTGAATGTCGAAAGCCAAGGAAACTCCATTGACACCCTCATTAAAATGTCAATTTTGGGGGCACTGGTGGCACAGTGGTTAGTGCACACTCCCTATATATGGAGGCCATAGTCCTCAAAGCGGGCGGCCCGGGATCTAATCCGACCTGTGGCTCCTTTCCCGCATGTCATTCCCCTCTCTCTCTCTCTCTCTCTCTCTCTGAGATTTCCGACTCTATGCACTGTCCTATCTCTCCAGGCTGAAACTTTTGGTTTTCCTTTCTTTATTTTTTTTAAGGTTTTAAGGTGGCTTTTTTAATGTCTTTTTTTGAGAGATAGGATATGGGATAGAGTCAGAAACCTGGGCGAGAGAGAGAGAGAGAGTGGGGAATGACATGTAGGAAAGGGAGCTACAGGTTGGATTTGAAGCCAGGCCGCCCCCGCTTCAAGAACAACAGCCTCTGTACATGGAGCGGGTGTACTAATCCACTAGGCCACCGGCGCCCCAGCTGTATTAGTTTTAGTAGCATATCGACAAAGAAAAACACTCAAGTCAATTTAGTTTAGTTTGAATGCACAACACAGATTCAGTTTGGGGAATGTAGTTTTGGTTTTATCGTTACTAACCTTAATGTGCAGCCACTGGAAGACATGGCGCTGTCTCTTTCCTTCTTCTCTGCAATTTGTTTTACAAAGAGGCGGGTCAGCTCTGTTCTGCTTCAAATTATTGTTGTTGTTGATGATGATGATGATGATGATGAGAAAATATCCTGCACTCTTCCTCCTGATTCCTTCCCTCTCTCCCCTCGTGTCCTTTCCTTTGTCTGTCCCTCCTCTCCTTTCATCACTTTTCTTCATCATCCCTCCTTCTCTCTCCCTCTGCAGTAAGAAAGAGAAGGCTTGAGGGAGGACCCATCTTCCCCAAGTGTCGGACGAATGTGTAGAAACCGGAGCTACTCTCAACCCTCTGACCCCCCAATCTCCCCCGACCATCTTTACACACCTCGACTCGGTACCCTCCTCCGCCTCTCCTCTTGACGGCCTGCAGAAGTCCGTGAACACACCTTCAGGTTCAAATGTTGAGAGTTTGGAGGCAACCTCTGAACTCTCTCTCTACTTTCTAAGCCTCTGTTTAACGTCAAGGAGCGCTCAGTGCATGCAGACGGTGAGATTTTATACAGATTATTTTGTGTTCTTTTGAGAAGTTTAAATTGGATCAAGGCTTGAAATGCTGTAAGTCTTTGTACAAACTAACCAGACGAGGCTTTCTTTTGTCGTGATGAATCATTTCATATCGCTTCGAGAGTGTCTCATATCCTTTGTAAAGAGGGCGGGAGGTCTGGTTTTACATGGCGGCTCGTTAAAAGATGGCGGGGAACTTTAAGCCGTCCCTGTTTCTCTGTAGGAGTTGAATGAATTCTAATTATTCTGTAAATGAGTTGTGCTTTTCTCTGACGCTGTTCCCAAAAGCTTCGAGTGTCTCCGAAGCTGAAGTCCCATCACGACGAGTTCTTTAGTTGTAGACTGAATGGATTCATAAAGCTGACTCCTGTGAGATGTGTTGCTATTTATTAGCAGAGTATATTTATTTGTGACGGTTATAGGACAGAGAAGACGTTTCAATACACAACAAAGCTTGGGTTGATTGCTCTGCAGAGTGTTAAAACGTTTAGTGTCTGCATATCAAACTGTTAAGCTCTGAATACGTGTTTCTGTGCAACATGAGGAAGCCTTCAGGTTCTGCAGAGGATTTCTGCTAGCTGGGAATAGCAGAGGCAGGACAAAATAACCCACAGAAACAGTATTCTTATTTAGACTTTATAACTTTATAGCATTAATGACACACACTTTTGAAACGTTTGGATACCATGTGTTTTAAAACGATGTATGATGGTTCATATCGAAAAGGAAGAATGTGCAACCTTTTTTAATCCAGTAGATGTCGCCCTTGAGCACCAGCATGAAACCAAAACAAACTGCTGTTTGGCCACACCTCCAACCCCCCTCCCCTTTAGCGCAAGTGGCGGACGTAATTGTCCTTAGCTCGAGCTGCAATCACCTGTGTCCTGCATTGGTGTGTTAGCATGCTAATGTTAGCGCTCTTTAGTTAGCTCGTAGCTTCACATTGCATGTAAACCGACACAGAATGAGCGTGATCCAAAAACTCTTAAGTGACATTCAAATAATCAGTGAGTATGTTCTTCTTCTTCTCTATAGTCCTTGACTAAAACAGCTTTTATACTCAAGGGGAGGAGCCGGCCGTCCCGTCCATGTAAACACGGCTCTGACAACAACACAGCCAGCGGGACTCGAGCTTCTCACTCATTGTAGACAGTCATGAGTCAGAGACACATTTACACAGTATAGACTTGATCTCTGCTGTATTTATGTCTAACATGTCGCACATTCTTCCTTTTAAAAAAAACATCTTTTTCATTAGACAGGTGCGTAGAAGACGAGTGAAGCCATCAGACATGCAGTCACACTCCTGCACACGCTGTCTAAATATGTTGGCAACATTTCGGTGTGTTGCCAACGTGTGCATTTTTAAAAAATGTGCAGGAGTTTGCTTGCCATTTTTGCTCATTTAAAACAAGAAATTGCCCTTTATTGGGCGCCTAGGACTTCTACTTGTGTTTCTGCACGGTGTCCAATCAGGTATCGGTGTCGTTCGATTTTTACGATGGTCGTACTGAAGTTTAAAATTCAGGTATCATAACAACTTTAAACCTAAATCAGGTGATAACAGCCTGAAAGGACTTCTGTTACACCTTGAACCAGGTCAGGCTCGATGATTGTTTGTGTTCATGTGTTTTTACTGGAGCTTCGATGTGTGATGTCATACGAAGCCAGCTGGTACTGTTCATTACAGGTTTTCCTTTGAAGAGCCTGAACCCAAACGTTTTGTAGTAATTCAGCCGTCTGACCCTTCAGTGTATCATTTATTCTTTTAATGTTCAATTGAGAATCCAAACCGGAAAATTTAAAAGCTGATTCCTTATTCGTTCTTTGCCCAAAAAACAGATACCAAAAAATGCTCTGATCAAAAATGTTCAATTTTAGGAGGCCGGTAGCCCAGTGGTTAGTTTGAGCGCCCCATGTGCAGAGGTTTTGTTCCTCAAAGCGTGCAGCCCGGGTTCAAATCCGATCCGTGGCATCTTTCCTGCATGTCTGTCCTCTCTCTCTCTCTCTCTCTCTCTCTCTCTCTCTGTCTCTCTGTCTCTCTCTCTCTCTCTCTCTCTCTCTCTCCCACCTTCTGATTTTTCTGAAAAAAAAAGGCATAAAGAAGCCCAAAATGAATCTATAAACTTGTTAATAATTGCAGGATTGAGTTGTGGTACTTACCACCGTCACCCAGGTCCACAGATGACGTACCACACACACTAATGCTGCATTCAGGTGCTCCTCGGATTGTCCAAGTTTCTGAGTTGTGAAGTCAGTCTTCCCGCTTCAGTGTGTTTACGTGCTTTCAGTTTGAAATATTTAAACATCAGCCAAAAACATTGTCGATGCCACGAAGAACAAGATGTGTATAATGTCTCTGTTACAAGTTATATTTCAGCAAATTGATAAAAAGTATCTAAACATTAACTAAACATATTTTGCCCCCCGTGATGGAGATTATGTCGTCAACTTTGCACCTAATTCTTTTCCTAGTTTCCGAGTTTTTCTGATGATTCTGAGAGTACATGAATGCACCATAACGTACACGTCAAATTGGAGACAACAGGATAAACTATTGAATTTTGAAAGAATGAATGATACATTTCCTCCTATTCCCTAAATAATTATGAGAAGACTATATGCTGTTTGTTTGGAAATGCTCGTTGGCTGATAACAGGGTCTGACATTAACCTCTGATCTAACCTCTGGTCCCGGGTCGCGTCTTTAAAAGCTCCCAATGGAAAATGTTCCTGCCAAACATGTCTCTGAAAACATGTTTACATCCAGCTGTTCATGATAAACACGACTGTACATGTTGCAGCTCTAATCAACGGCACCTTTGCAAAAGAAGAGTCAGCTGCTACTTCACCGAGAACTGACGCCGATCTGTCGCCGTAAGACAAAAAGAGAGAGAGAGAGGGGCTGCACACCTGAGTCGAATGGCTAAACTACCATTCACAGAACCACAGGTAGACCATACCCACTGCTACCCCATCAGTGTTTCAGTGACGAAAACATGTGTGCGTGTTCCTGACACTCAGAGATCATTCACCGCGTGTTTTAAGGGTCCGATTATGACGTGTAACGTGACGTCGTATGTCTCTGCTCTGATTCTTACCTGTCCGTGCTGCAGGTGTTCAACAAATGTCAGCTATGAATGTAAACATGAGTGAAATAAGAAGTCACTGAATGCTAAAGGTGAAGAGGACTCTTTTCACTCAGTCTGTGTGTGCGTCCTGTTTGCTCATATTTTAGTGCTTGATTTTGTGTTTTTGTTAGATAGGTCACCTTTTTTTTTTTTTGGTTGATTTTATTTTTGTTTTTGTTATTGAAATAAATAAAGCTTGAAATAATATCTGCACTCTGTTTCTAGTAAGTCTGTAATGTGTGTGCAGCATTGTTCCCACACATGAAGACAACAGTGACACCCAGTGGCAGAATGGGCGAAGTGCAGCGAGTCGTCTCACGGCTGCCCTCTTCCGGCCAACAGTAGTACTACATTTCAAGATCCTGTATTGACATTCAGTACACTCTGTACTAGCGTTACACAGTAGACCCCAATTCTTTCGCATCCGGCCTCAAGACACTAGACAAATAAAAACAATATATACAGAATATATATGTGTGCATGCATGTGTGAAAAAAATATTTGAAAATCAGAATCAGCTAAATAAGTGTGTGTACAAGAAGGTAAATACTTTAAGGTGCAGTTAAAAGCAGTGAGGTACTGCAGGCCTGCCCACATAATTGTGGCCTGAAATGCCCAGTGTGTGGGCCCTACCAGGATATGATTTAAATCAAAGTATCCACATTCGATCAGTACTGTTAGCCTCCTAGCTCCCTCTGCCTGGCTCCCATCAGACTTTGGCGCTGACTGAAAAAAGTTTGGTAACAAGTTCTTGTTGGGGTCAAATCCCCAAGCCAGCTGCCTCCTTTTCTTCTGTCTTTTTCTGGCGTCCTGACTTTGTAATTTTCAAAAACTAGCTTGATATTAAAAGTAGCATTCCCTCAGTGCCCCGTCTGCACCCACCCCCTCCCCTCTGTGCTCCCTCATACATGAACGAGCGCCGTCTCTCCAGAAGTGGACCTCAGCTCATCGCTTGCATTGTGTAGAAACTACGTCGTCAACTACGTCGTCTACTACGTCGCGGTAAGTAAACTCACAGTATAAACTCCATCATCAGTGACGCTCTTTGAGTGTGGGCTCGCTCATTTAATTTTAAGAAGAGACAGGCTACATTTGAGTAAAGAAACAATAAATAAAATTTGTGTTCGTTAGTTGAGGTGATGGTGATGGTGAGTATCAAAGTGTAACATTGGTGATTGTGATTGGTGATAGAAAGCTTTCCCCTTTATCCCCCCTTATGGGCGGCCACCTTGGGTACATTTATGAAACGCTGTGCAATTGTTTGTTGTTCCGGGGGGTGGGGCACTGGTGGAGAAGGCCCGGTCACTCTTGGCCCTTGATTGAGGAATGGCGAGCAGAGCCTTGGCTGAGGCCCTCAGGTTATGAGGAGATCAGGTGTGTACAAAAAAAAAAAAAAAGAAGGCACACAGAACAGAGGAGGGCGCATTTTTATTGTCTGTGAACAAGGTTTAAAGTTTTTATTGAAGTTCAGGCAGAAACATACATGATAATCCTTTATTGCTCATGGCATATCAGGTCGCCATCTGTGTCTCATTCTCACGTCTACACCAACAACGAGTGGAATCACGTCATCATCATGTCTTCTTTTCAACTGTTCGACATTATTCACCACACTGTGAGAGTACAGAGGGTGGACCGGGGGGGGGGGGGGCTGTTTCTCTTCACATGACACAAACACACATCTTGTCTCCAACCATATCTGACAAATCAAAGCAGTAGATGTTTTTATTTATTCACTCAGACTCATTCAGTATCCGTTCCCAAGTAGTAGATCCTGATAGTACGAGTATATATTCTGTAGGTTCTGGTTTTATGGCTGAAAGCTTAAGGTTTTGGCTGTCGTAGGAACGGCGACACGGTCATTCTTCATCCAAAAACAACGAAAAACAACATGAAAGAAAAGTCTAAAAACCCTGCAAATTAAACATCCTGAATGCATAAGTATCGTTGTCTTTTTTTTTTTTTCGTCTACTCATAACACTAACAGTTATATCAACATGGAGGTGACACACTCAAACTTAGGAGTTATTGCCTTAATATTTTTTGCATGACAAAGAAGAGGAGGGGGGGGGGGTGAGTTTGTACATTTCCACACAACAAACTTGTCCAGACAAATGGCATGCAAGACATGAGAAGGAGACGCACTGAACGGGGGGAGTAGAAACATTTCAAACACTAGACTACATGGAGGTCGACCACACTTTATGTCGGGGGCATTACGGGGGGGGGGGGGGGGGGCGCGTCGGGCAGACGGACGACGACAGGTCTGACACAGAAAAGTGTAACACTGTGTGCAAAAAGTTTGACATAAACATGAGACATGGTCGAACACAAAACGGCACACGACAGCAGTCTTTACATTTCTTTTTAAAATATGGCTTATCAAGTTATCACATGTATTTTTTTTGTTCTTTTAGAGACAGACACACAGATAGCATAATAATTTCATATAATATCTTATGATTGTTCGCCCACCTCGAGGCTCGTAACGTATTTTATTTATTTTATGTACAAATAAGAGTGAAAGGGGAGATTATTTTTCAGTGCTGCGAGAAAGCTCGGCAGCTCTTCGCAGAGGACAGAAAAAGGAGTTTAAAACTGCTCAGACTAGAAGGATAAACCATCCAACATTGTGTTTTTTTTAGCCCCTCTGCTTTCACTGTTAGCTTCATCAGTGTAACAGAGCTAACGTTAGCATCAGTCAAGCTAACGTCCACCTAGCCTAGCTTAGTCTAACGGCTTCCATTCACACAGCTGGTTCACGCCTGAATCATTCCCCCGCCATTAAAACTTGTGATTTGTCCAAACATAAAAAAAAAGACCAAAACAATGTTTTTATTTGAAGTAGTGGAGCTCAAAGTTCAGATCAAGTCATGTGGATGAAAAACAAACCCCTGATTTAAGCCAGCGCTGTGAATGTAGCCCTTGAACTAAGCTAGTTAGCGTTAGCATTCGTTGGCTCTCGCCTACTTCTTCAGCATGTCTTGCAGCGGGCCTGGCAGGTATTTCATCACTTGGTCCATGATGCTCTCCTCCTCCTCCTCGTCGCCGCAGCCGGCCGGCACGGCTTTCTTAGGCCGGGTCAAGCTGCCCTCAGCTGGCTGCTCTGCAGCGGCGGCGGCCTCGGCTTCGGCCTCCTCGCGCTTTTTCAAGCCATACTGTTGGTCAAACACAGAAAAGGAAATACTGCACACTTAGACAGATGCAGGGGGAATGTGCTCAAAACAGATAAGGATTGGTATGATATTGATAAATGATTCTGGTGTCAGGATTCATTTCAAAATTGATTTTCGATTCAAACAGACATCCCCTGTTTTTAACAGATTGTCGTTCAGATTGAAATCTGTGTGTGTTTCAGTGTGTCTGCTTATGTATTGGACAAAGGGTTATGGTTAGTTTAATAATAGCGCCACGTTGTGCAGTGGTAAGCGCTGCTGCCTCATAACGAGGAGGTTCCTGGTTTGAATCCCCGTCTGACAGGAGTCTCTCTGTGTGGAGTCTGCATGTTCTCCTCGTGCATGTGTGGGTTCTGTCCGGGTACTCCGGCTTCCTCCCACAGTCCAAAGACATGCTCGTTAGGTTAACTGATGACTCTAAATTACCCGTAGGTGTGAATGTGAGTGTGGCTGGATGTCTGTCTCTTTGGGTGCATC